TAACACAGCTGTTAGTGGTGAACATGAATGTTTTCCTCCCAAGAAGAAAAATGACTCAAGAATGTGCATTCCTGTCATATCCGTTCACTATTGTACTGGATAGCTTTGCCATGGCCATGTACCAGGAAAAAAGATAAAAATCATCTTACTTGCAGATGACATGATTTTCTATATGGAAAACCCTACGGAAGTCACTAAAATACTGTTACATTTAATTAAAGATACAAGACAAATCATCAGTGAATAATAAAAAACAAAATTAAGAAAATGATTTCATTTACAACAATATTAAAGAAAAAATATCTAGGAATACATTTAATATTCAAAGAAGGGCAAAACATACTTAAAACCACAAAGTATTGCTGAAAGAAATTTAAAGAGTTCTGAATAAATGGGAAAATAATCATGTTAATCAATTAAGTAATCTCAGAGACATAAATATAAGAATTAAACTACAAAACTTCTAGAAAATAGAAAAATCATTGTAATCTTGAGTTTGAAAAAATAATATTGGAGTTCAAACATGCTACACAAAAGAATTAATTGATAAATTTAACTATATCAAAATTGTCTTTAAGGCTTCAAAAAATATCATTATGAAAATCATATATCTGAGAAAGACTTCTATGCAGAATACATAAATAACCCTTACAATTCAATAAAAAGACAACTTAAAAGTCAGCAAATGGTTTGAACAGATATTTAACAAAAGAAGCTATATGAATGGCTAAAAGCACTTGAAATATGCTTATATTATTAATCATTAGGAAAATGCTAAAATCAGAAACAACTACACACCCATTAGAATGGCTCTAATCATAAAAATCAAACAGTATTGTTGGAGAAGATACAGAAAACTAGAACTCTCATGCTGCACTGCTGAAAGTGAAAGCCACTCAGTAGTGTCCAGCTTTTGTGATCCCATGGTCCATGGAATTCTCCAGGCCAGAATACTGGAGTAGGTAGTCTTTCCCTTCTCCAGGGGATCTTCCCAACCCAGGAATCGAACCGGGGTCTCCTGCATTGCAGGCGGATTCTTTGCCAACTGAGCTATCAGGGAATCCCTGATATGTATTGCCAGTGGGAAAATAAAAGTGGTACAGACACTTTGGAAAATGTTTCTTAAAAAATTAAAGTTATTTAGCATACAATTCAGCAATTTCACTTGCAGGAATCTGTCCAAGAAAAATGAAAAGACAGGCCTCCATAAAAACACATGTGTGAGTGTTCACACATCATTATTTCTAATTGCCCCAAATTGGAAACAAGCCAATTGTTCATCAACTGATGAATGAATGAATGAATAAACAAAATGCGGTACACCTGTACAACGGACTATTCAGCCACAAAAACAAATGAACTATCTATTCACCCTACAAGTTGGATAACCTCAAAACCAGTAGGCTTAGAGACAGGAGCCAAATGTTGGAAAAAAAAAAAAACTACAATGTATGATTTTATTTATATGAATATTTTAGAAAAGGTATATTTATAGGGAATGAAAGAAAATTCATGGTTTCCTAGAGTTGAGTGTGGGAATTAAGTCTGAGAAATTATGGAATATTCTAAATCTGCATTATGGTGAAATCTGTACAACTGTAAATTTGTTAACATTATAAATTTTTTAAGTTTGTTGGCAGAAACCATTGTTAGATTTGACGCATTTACCTTACAAACTGATCCTTAATTGGAATAATTCTCTGAGAAAATAAATTATTCATCCTAAAAAAAGAATAAAACATAATTTGTCCTTGTTCTCATGGTGGATTATTGTGGACAGGAAGGACGTGGCATTCCTTTTCCTCCTCTATCTACAAGCTTACTGCCTTCAATTCCTAGAATCTTTCCTTTCCTGTTCTGCGATTAAAGGTATTCTTCAAAGGTAGTGGTGGGGAGGGGGGCAAATCCATTTTTGACAGCAAAAAAGTAACCGAGAAACAAGTTCAATTTCATTGCAACTTTGCCTGACATTTGAGGTTATTTTTCTACTGCTGTCTTGCTGTCATGGTCTACTTAATGGATAAGGTTTAAAAAAAAAAAAAAGGCAGTGTAATATCCGGTCAAAAACTCAAGTAATGGAGGCAGCAAAGCAGGTTTAATCATTTTGAATCCTTCCATTTACCAGTGCAAGCACACTGAGAAAGGTACTTGACATGTTTCATCCCTAGTTTCCTCCTCTAGAAATGGAGGTGATGCTAGTATCTGTCTTCCTTACAGAGTTACTTTGAGGATTAAATTAGATACTACATATAAGAACTTATCACACGTTTTTGACATTTCAAATATATCTGAAATATGATCACTTTTCACCTCTTCCCAGGCAATTTCCCTAGTTCATGGGAACAGCATTCTCTCTCCTATGACAAAAATAGCTTCTGGTCTCTCCTCCTATTAACTATTGCTTACATAGCAGAAGATACTTCCAAAGTGTAAATCCGATTATGTCCCTCTCCTGCTCTGAAACCCCTCAGCGGACCCCTACAAATCCCTAGATTATGTGGCTCCCATCTATTTCTTTGGCCTCATTCCTACCAATATTCTCCTTGATCACTGACCAACCTGATCTTAAAATTTCTCAAACTCAAGAAATTATTTCGCAATTTACAGTATTTTCCCCTCCTGTTCTCCTTTTTGAAATATTCTTCCCATAGTTAGTCAAATAACTTACTCCCTGACCTCACTCAAGACAAGTAACACCCCCTCAAGGATGCCTTTCCTGAGTCCTCTAACAAGCAACCTCCTATCACTCTGTGTCCCTTTAATTTTATTCTTACTACTGAATAATATGTATTAATTTTTAGCTATTACATTTTTTGTCCCTTCTAGAATGGTGATTGCAGCCATGAAATTAAAAGACGCTTACTCCTTGGGAGGAAAATTATGACCAACCTAGATAGCATATTAAAAAGCAGAGACATTACTTTGCCAACAAAGGTCCATTTGGTCAAGGTTATGGTTTTTCCGGTGGTCATGTATGGATGTGAGAGTTGGACTGTGAGGAAAGCTGAGCACAGAAGAATTGATGCTTTTGAACTATGGTGATGGAGAAGACTCTTGAGAGTCCCTTGGACTGCAAGGAGATGCAACCAGTCCATCCTAAAGGAAATCAGTCCTGGTTCATTGGAAGGACTGATGCTGAAGCTGAAACTCCAATACTTTGGCCACCTCATGAGAAGAGTTGACTTATTCCAGAAAAGACCCTGATGCTGGGAGGGATTGGGGGCAAGAGGAGAAGGGGACAACAGAGGATGAGATGGCTGGATAGCATCACAGACACGATGGGCATGAGTTTGAGTAAACTCCAGGAGTTGGTGATGGACAGGGAGGCCTGACGTGCTGCAATTCATGGGGTCGCAAAGAGTTAGACACGACTGAGCAACTGAACTGAACTGAGAATATAAGCATTATAAAAGGAGGCCCTTTGAATATTTTTTGTACTGCTATGTTTTTTAGGACCTACAACAGTACCAGGCATATAGTAGGCTCTCAATAAATACTTGCCTAATAAATGAATGGTAAATAGTAATTTCTCAATATATTTAAACACTATAATTGAACAAGATTTTAAGTGACTTGATTTAACATCAGCTAAAACACATAAAATTGCAATCAAGTTTCTAATCATAATTAAGTGACTACAACAAAGTCCTCATATCTCTTAAGGATCATTAAAAAATTAAAACAAAACAAGACACACTTTCCATTTCTATTCTTTAACATGTCCATAAATCATACAAGTACTTATATGAAAATTAAATGGAAAATAAAATTAACACTTTTCTCTGAAAATTCATTACTGACATACTACAATCTTTGTTTCTATTTCACCATTAAACTTATCTCCTTTAGGGAGCATCATGGATATTTTAAGACTTCTACAGGTAACAGTACTCTCTTAAGAGAACAGGAATTTATTCCTCTGAGCAATTAATCATGGCCTCCTGGAAATGTTTTATAGACCCAGTCTTCCCACAGCTATTTATCTCCTTCCCTATAAACTGCCTTATTACACAGTTTAACTGTTTCAGCTTTCTGTTATATGTCATATTTACTTTGTAACAACAATAAAAACCCACCCATAAAACATCATGTATGATCCAAAACTCCAGTCTCATAAAGTGCTATGGGAACAAAACACCAGTTGCTGGTTGACAGATACCCTTATTTTGGCTACAGGTTTTAAGACCTTCTCAGATCCAACTGGCTTTTGGAGCCTTTTCCTGAGGGTTGATAACTTAAATACACACAGTGATAATCCTAGGATCCATGGTTAGCTAGAATCTTCTAGAAAGCTGTCTTTTTTATTGGTCCCAGGAGAATTTACTGGCAAAATGGAGGGCCACTAACACCCAGAATGAACCTCTGTATTCCCCTAACTGGGTTGTTTTTGTGTTTTAACCTGGCCTAGCCATCCTTTCCACCTTTCTCTTCCTACTGTCCTGCACCTATCCTTAAGAATCTTATTTAAAGAGGCAGGTGGGAGACAAAAGCCAACTGAACCCTGCCTAAATTGATTTTATAATAAAGTTTTGCTTAAGTCTTTTTAAATCAAATTTTGGTGGGGTTAGAGTTCCTGGAAAAGTTAAATAAGTTAACTTTGCCTATGTATCTGTTATTTTACCTCCCACTAGCAAGGACATCATCAGGAAACTGAGACAAAAAGATAGCAAAATTGAAAAACAAACAAACCTCACCAAAGGGTCAGGGCGCTCGGTTACAGTAGCAGTCTTAGAACAACCTTGGGAAGCCTCCACACCATGCAGGCCCCAGCCTAGCCAGGCTTCACTCCTTTACTGGCCTTTCCAGCCTTGTGGCTAGGCCTGGCGGGCTGCTGCACTGAACCACCTTCAGCAGTAGGTGTCAGGTCCTTGCCCAGCGTCTGATGGCAAGACCAGACTTCTCCCCTCTCCTGCTGCCAGGCTTCCCCCCAGGGGGCATCACAGTCTTCACTGGCCTTCTTCGTATCCCAGGCCCTTCTTCCAGTGGGCCTCTCACCGTTTCTACTTGCTCCGGAAGTTCTGGGCCTGCTGGTCCTCCCTCTGGGCCTTGAGCTGCCGCGTCTCCTTTTTGGCTGCCAGGCCAGCCTGGAATTCCATCAAAGTCTTGTGTGTGAAACCGGAGGACAGCACGTTCCCCTCCCTGACACCCTCCTGGGTGAGGTGTAGGCTATCGCCGGCCCAGTCCCAGCAGCGCCGGGCAACTCCCCGGGAAAGCTGGGTAACTGTGCTCCCAAACCAGCTCTGCCTCAAGGCCCGAGCACAGGGCCAGAGCTCACCCGTGTCCTACCGTGAGCTCCTGTCTGGGGAACGTCTGCGGGAGACGCTTCGTCATCCCACAACTTGCTCCCACAACTGCTTGGACGCTATAATCCGGAAGTCCGGGCCCTGGGAGGAGGGGCTGTAATTGGTGAGCCCGCAGCGCTTGATGGTGTTCAGGTTCGCCTTGCGCACAATGATGGGAGAACAGGTTCTGGGACGCGGTATTCATGAGCTTCAGGTGCACGCCGTGGGGCCAAAAGCTGCTCCGCTCCAGGAGTGAACGGTGGGCAAACTGCCGCAGAAGCACACAAGACCAGCACTTCGAGGAAGCCACACCATGCACCAGCGTGTACCTGCTGATGTGAAACGTCAAGGGCAGGGCTCCTACAAGGTGCATCAGCTTAAGATAAACATCGATCTCCATTTCGCTCGAGACCAGGAAGTCTGTGACCCAGAAGGGCCAGGCTATACCACATGGTCCTGCAAAGAGTTTTTCTTTCCGTCCCTGCAGGCGAGCGGTGAGGCTCAACGAGAGGCCACAGGTGCAGGCTGAACTGGTGCTGCTCTCACCATGCGGATCAGATTCAACAAGAAGGGCTGCCGCGCAGCGCGTGCCTCATGGTTGCTGAGCTGTGTGCCTCAGGGCGCATGCGCGCACTCTCCAGGTTCCCCTCAGCGAAGCCGCCTCTTCTCACCGCTTCCAGCACTGCTCTGCTAGCTTCCTGCAGCGTTGTGACGAGTAACTGGTAGCCAGTTGTGTTATATGTGCAGAAGGCTCTAAAAACCTGAGAGAACCGAGATTCCTGGTTCTGACAGAGCTATAACATAGAGTAGGTTCAGTTCAGTTGCTCAGTCGTGTCCGACTCTTTGCGACCCCATGAACCGCAGCACGCCAGGCGTCCCTGTCCATCACCAACTCCCGAAGTCCACCCAAACCCATGTCCATTCAATCTGTGATGCCTTCCAACCATCTCATCCTCTATCATCCCCTTCTCCTGCCTTCAATCTTTCCCAACATCAGGGTCTTTTCAAATGAGTCAGCTCTTCGCATGAGGTGGCCAAAGTATTGGAGTTTCAGCTTCAACACCAGTCCTTCCAATGAACACCCAGGACTGATCTCCTTTAGGATGGACTAGTTGGATCTCCTTGCAGTCCAAGGGACTCTCAAGAGTCTTCCCCAACACCACAGTTCAAAAGCAGCAATTCTTCGGCGCTCTTTATAGTCCAACTCTCACATCCATACATGACCACTGGAAAAACCATACTCTTGACTAGACGGACCTTTGTTGGCAAAGTAATGTGTCTGCTTTTTAATATACGGTCTAGGTTGGTCATAACTTTCCTTCCAAGGAGTAAGCGTCTATTAATTTCATGGTTGCAGTCACCATCTGCAGTGATTTTGGAGCCCAAAAAAATAAAGTCTGACACTGTTTCCACCGTTTTCCCATCTATTTGCCATGAAGTGATGGGACTGGATGCCATGATCTTAATTTTCTGAATGTTGAGCTTTAAGCCAACTTTTTCACTCTCCTTTCACTTTCACCCTTTCTGCCATAAGGGTGGTGTCATCTGCATATCTGAGGTTATTGATATTTCTCCCGGCAATCTTGATTCCAGCTCTGCTTCATCCAGCCCAAGGTTTCTCATGATGTACTCTGCATATAAGTTAAATAAGCAGAGTGAAAATATACAGCCTTGATGTACTCTTTTCCTATTTGGAACCAGTCTGTTGTTCCATGTCCAGTTCTAACTGTTGCTTCCTGACCTGCATACAGGGAGAGAGCAAATTAGCCAAGATGTCCATAGTCAGGCTCGCTCGCCCCACATTTTGTGAATAATGATTATGTAACTTCTGAAATCACTTAAAGCACTGCATGTGCATCATGAGGTACTCAGTTTGCCATGGGCTACTTTTGTTCTGTAAGCATGTATAAGTTCCGCCTGGAAAGCCCTTGGCGGGGGGTGTGTGTGGGAGGTTATGTTATGTCTGCTGCTAGGCTGCTGTGCCAGCAAGGGGAGAAAAAGGCACCTGCAGTCCCAACAGTTCCTTGCGTTTGCTTCCAGCCTGTTATCTCATACCTTCCCTACCCTGGGTTCAGTGAAAAGCAAGACAGGTTTTCTCCTACAGTTATAAAACACACCTACCAGGGTCTCCAAGGGATCCCATAGAAGCCCTGGTTGTTAGAACTGAGGTTGGCCACAGGCAGCCCCAGTCCCTCTGCTCTGGGATGGGAGAGATTCACAGCACATGTGCAACTCTCTGCAAGAATCGAGCCTCACATGTCCTCTGTCAGCCCTTTCTCTCAACGTTTTTATGTCCAGGGGTGGGGAGGGAGGGGTGATTTCTAGAGCCATGAACTTGTTTTCAAGTATATCCTTTGCATACTTCATATTACTCTGGCTAATTACTTGGAATTTTATGTTTGCATTGATATTAATTTAAAATTGATAGTCACATCTCTGACAAAGTGATGCGTGTAGGATTTAAACATAGGTCAACCTAACTCCAAAGCACATGCTCTGTAATGTCCCAAAAAACACAAGTCCCCTAACCCTCCTTATCTCTATCAATATCATCCTGCCTCTTTGACCTCTTTAAATGCTCCAAAAAAGTAGCATTCAGAAATTTGTTTGATTTCTGAAGGAGAATCTCTTACATGTTAACTTTAAAGGACCCACTACTATGATATCTCTTCTCTTTCCTTTCATATTCTTTATCCAGGAAGTTTTTTGTGGGGACACCTACATGGTAATTGATGTTTCCATCCAACATCTTAAAAATATGACAATAGTTATTTTCCGTCTCAGATAAGCCTTGTATAATCAGCACCTATATTAATATGAGAAATATTCTCCTGAACATTCTATATTATTCCATAATTTTCAGTAAATAGATTTTGCTGCCGAATGACAAAATTTGTTCTGATTTCCCTTTGAAATATGTTTAATCACAAACTAGAAACTCAGATATACCTGTTTTTACAAACTATGGATAACTCCAATAGTCTCCAGATTTTTATTTTTTTTAAAAAAGGATAAGAATGGCAGCCTAATGTATGCAAGAAATTTTAACTTGGAGTCAGAAGATTAATAATACCTTCTCAGACACCCACATAAGATTGTTGATAAATGTATATAGTAGAACTTTATAAAATATAAAGGGATTTTAATACTATTACCCACCCCCACTTCTCACTTCACAATGCACAGAGAAATATTGGTTACATTTATCAAGAAAATGCACATAATTCAAAGATATCTAGTTGGAACAACACTTTATTACTAAAAGGTCTATATTTATCAGCACTGAAATTTCCCATTATGAAGTTAGCAAGAGTACTTTGGAGGGAAACATTGCTTTAATTCTCATTCACTAAATTATTTGCAAACTACTGAGTATTTTGAACATATACTTCAAGACTTTTGTAATATATCAGGGTCATGATAGGTTTTGAGAAGGCAAAAGATACAGACATCACCTTTGTATTTTACCTTTATATTTGTGAGTTATTTATCTTGCATTTCCCCCTATTTCACTTATGCCTTCTATTCAAATAATATACAGTGAGATCAGACCACAAGAACTCCAAATGCTCACTCTATAATTGCCAGCAATAAATAGGTTCTCCTTCAACTCTATTTAAATAACAGTTCCTGAATCTTAATATAGCAAAAGGAGTCTGAAATAAAAATATTGTTATTCTTTACGTAAAACCCTTCTCCACACACATTTCAGTAATACCAGCATCTCTAAATCATCCCTTTGATAATTATTGAATAAAACATAATTTCCAATTACACAGAAGAGAAATTATATAAGTGCAAGTTGAGGTAATAATAGATTTAATTTAAATGGGCACATGTTGAAATTGCCTTTCAGGAGAGGCAGGTTGGTCATTTCCTAGAGGGAGAGAAGTAGGCACAGTAATAAAAAGAAAATGTAAGTATCCTATAAATAAATATCCAATTTAAGTCAATTTAAAAATCAAATGTTTTTTTCTGCAATCTCATTGCATTAGTAGAATTTTCCAATGAATAATTCTGTATTCTCTGAATGCATGAATACCGTAGTCTTTGTCAGAATTTACACTGATAAAATGATATGGGAACATACAGCACTAATCTAAAACTGAACAGTTTAGGTACTTGATGTGAACTATGTTAGCTCCGTATTTATGTTAATTTCTACCATAACATGACAGAAGTTTGTTTGATGATCTGTAGGTCTTTTAGAAAGTACTTAAGCCTCCCTTTTGGTCTGTGATCCATAGTACTTATAAAACTATTACTACCCTCATATATACTGTATGTGGTAGATATACATATATTCGTTGATTTTGGTTTGGTTTTTACTCCCAATTTCCCCTGTGGTTGTCCCATCCTGATGTCATGTCAGAGTCTTTGCAACCCCATGGACTACGTCATGCAAGACTCCTCTGCCTCCACCATCTCCCCAAACTTGTTCAGATTCCTCCACCATCTCCCCAAACTTGTTCAGATTCATGTCTTTGTGGTGGTGATGCTATCTAACCATCTTATTCTCTGCTGCCCAGTTCTCATTTGCCTTCCATCTTTCCCAGCATCAGGGTCTTTTCCAGTGAGTCAGCTTTTCACATCAGGTGGCCAAAATATTGGAGGTTCAGCAGCAGTCCTTTCAATGAATATTCACATTTTCCCTCAGTTCAGTTCAGTCACTCAGATGTGTCTGACTCTTTGCAATCACATGGACTGCAGCATGTCAGGTTTCCCTGTCCATCACCAACCCCCAGAATTTATTCAAATTCATATCCATTGAGTCGGTGATGCCATCCAACCATTTCATCCTCTATCATCCCCTTCTCCTCCCAACTTCAATCTTTCCCAGCATGAGTCTTTTCAAATGAATCAGTTCTTCGCATCAGGTGGCTG